TCCATACAACACTTTGATTGAATTGCGCACTATCTATAAAATAATATTAAAAGCTAAAACTTTGAGAGAATTGTTTTTTTATTGATTTGGAACAATTTGAGCCCTTGGGAGCAAGGAAATTCGATAAGTTTTGGATATATTAAAGTAGTGGTCGATAACACTAGAATTTTTTTTATTTTTGAATAGCCGTACTAAACTTTTTAAGAAATTTTATATTTGATAAATACATACATCAATTTAGTCGTATCATAAACTATATGTATTCTCTTTAAATACTGATGCTATTTAATAATTGTAGTAATAAATCCGAATAATCCCCCTATGTAAGTAGTTAAATACAAAATAAATTTATTTTGAATATGAACTAATTTACTAAAGCAACTAGCCATACATCAATCAGTTGTCAAGTAATTACAGACAAAAAATTCATGCAAAATCGAGCCAAATAATATGTTTGACTAATTATAATTTGTAAAAATGTTATTGCAATGGATTTGTTCAATAAGTGAGAAAACAATTCTTTATCAAACGTTCTTTATCATGTTCACCTAAAAATAGCACAATTAATTTTTTTAATAAAATAAAATTTTAGTAACAATTTATATCTTGATTAAATATAATTTGGAAAAGCTTCTTTGTAGTGCTTTAGTATTACTCTATAATTTTTTTTAATTACTGTTCGTTAACAAAATTGTATTGTTCTAAAATACGATATTTTTAGTATTTCCTCAAGCAAATCTGTAAAATGCCATTGTTGTGAAAATACAAATGATTCGAACCCTTTAACTGTTCTGATACTATTTTGAATTCTTCTGACTGTGTTGGCTAAGAAAACAACACGAGCAAACTATTCTGAAATGCGTTAATCACAGAGGCAATAGTATAATATTGCATTCCGAAACCCAAATTATTTATTATCGTGTTCAACTCTATCCAACGAAGCATTCTTAGCTAGTATTTAAATAGACATAATAATACTGTTAATTAATAATATAATTAACTTTATAAATAAAATATGTGATATGAATAAAATCTATTTTAACCAAGGAAGTAAGAATAATCATGCCAAATTTATGGTGTTTTATTATTAGTAGATCAAATCCCTATCGGAAGCGATTTCTGTATTTTAAACATTGCTCAGTTGGCTAAGGCACATTTCTTTCAACTGATTTCAAGAGTTCTCAATTTGAATACTTATGCCGATGTAGCATTCAAATTAAACAACTCTTTAAGCATGAGTTATACCACCTAACAGTCCATTACGTTGTCAGCTTTTGCAAACCCTCAAAAAGAATTACTGTGACACAGATGCTTCAAAAATACTACTCGGAGAGGCCGTGTACGAAAATACATTGCCGAAACCTATTAGTTTTAATATCATATTTTTATAAAACAAGCTAGAGGAAAAATTTATGATAAGCTCGGCCGTAAATCATATTACTTTGAAACATATATTCTAAAATTATATTTCTGAGTGTTGTATGAAATGTGAAAACATTTGATAGGCTGTTGCGAAGCGCATAAAGTAAGTCTGTGGAGCGCCCGCCGATACACGTTGATTGTTAAAAATATCTGGACCTGAGAACATATTCCGAGTCTCGGATCAACTCAAATTTTCATCATAATAATACAACAATCGATTATGACTTTAATATCGAATTAGTATTCTGCTTGCGATTTAATCGATGCCGAATTTTATCGGTTCAATTTGTAATAGAAAATAATAACATAATATAAACCGTCATAAAATTTAATAACCTTATTATGGTGTATAACAGCGATTCCTAAAGTGGCTCATATGAATCCCCAGAAGTTAATGACAATTTTCAAGGGGTCAGCAAAAAAATTGCGGAATCCACAAAATGAAAATTGGGGTCCACGGTAGAGAATCACAACATACCATGTTAATATCTATTTGCTTATATTATACTATATATAATAAAAAGTTATGTTCAATATTTATAAATAGACCTAAAAACTATGAAATATTGTATATTTTTATAAAATTTTATAAAAAAAATGATATAGGGTAAATAGAGGGTTCATGGCACAACTCAAGGAGTCCATGCTACATAAAAGTCAGAACACCAGTTAAAAGATAAGATAATCTTAATATATTAATAATCCTAATATATAATATATTAATACTCGATAATTATCCTTAGTTTAATAATAACTGCCCTAGAGCAAGTCCGTAAGCTGAGTTAAACTTCAACTAATTAGGGAGCAATAGTGTTAGAAATTTCCCACTGCCATTTCACACCGCAGTGCCCGAAATGGCTTAATTTTGATTAGAAACATATTTCTGATCTATATTTTCAAGTAAGAATAGACATTGCTGCTGCCCGATGCAGATTGTCCATGAAGACGGGGTTCGAACTTACGAGCTCGTGCGTTTGACTGTTATGTCATAGATATCTTATATGCATATATAATGTATTTTTATAAAAAATAAAGTAATAATGTGGCTATTATTACATGAGACAATTAGTAAATGCAATCATATGTATCAAAATCTATTAATTCACAAAATTTAAAAAAACGGTTAGAGTATGTACACGTTTACCATATTACATTACATTTTATTACTATAGTCAATAGATATAAATTTACAGAATCGATAATAAAATGTATTCCATTCTCAAGTTATTACGAAGCCTGTCCGGCTTGATATGAAATCCAGAAGCCAGAATTCATTTTATAGGTCTATTATTAAGACAGAGTATATAATGTATATGATTATACCCAATCCAAATTATTATGATTGGAGCAACATGCCAGCGACTAAAAACAATATAAGCGAGGACCACGAGATCTGCTTCAGAATTACAAAATTACTGACATTAAAAGAATTATCATTATCCAATATTATACACGGCTATAATTAAAACAAACAACTTGCTTGTAAAACTTTATGAAAATTATATGTGCTTGGTAGCACTCGTAGAAATAGAAGCTAATCACATTGTTAGATTACAAAACCATTTAATGTTCGAAAGCAATTACAGATTAGTTCTAAAGATTAAGACAACAGATATTTTCTTGCTGTCGAACACCTGACACATGTCATGTAGAGAAATCACAATATTTTTTCAGACATAAAACGAGGGGAACAACACACTCTATTCGAGTATCGGTGACCTGCATTCGAGGAGATCACTACATTATGACGGGATTTCTTGCCGAATCATTTCTGGGATACCACAGTGATATCGCGGTTGTGTAATCACGTACAGTATTGTATACAACAAGTGCATTTAATTTATCCCCTTCGATTCTCTCGACTGATAATGTACTACATACTACAATTGCTGATGAACTTAACAAAACATACGGTTCGTATCCGAAATTATATAAATAGACATTTGGTAATGACCGTTATCGCTTGTCAATTTCATGTCATTGCTCCAGTTGCAACAGATTTAGCAAGTAAATCATACACATGCGATATGCAAGTGCAATTGAATCAATAAATAATCATTTTGTGTCACATGTTGGGCGATGTCGTAGCATAATTGGAACAAAAAAACGGGTGATGACGTTTAAAAAAAATGTATCGAGACTGTTGTATGTCAAGTGCTTAGTTTTTACGTATAGCCGGAAAAAGCATTTAAAACAGCATATAACAACATGATCCCAATAGAAATGAAAAAAAACATAGCATTTTCAAGTACTTTTAGGAATTCACACAGCGGTTAATACTCAATATCTAATTTTTTTTCTAGAACTACAACAGAATTACCAATAATAATTTACTGTTTTGAACAAAAAATTTAAACCGGACAAATCCAATTCATAAAAATGCATAAAACGCACGTTTCAGCTATTCAAACATTCATGTAAATGCCATTGTGATATTTTGAATGCGCATAAGTTTTAGTATATTTATTGAGTGGACAATGGCACCAATATTAACAATGTAAAATTTCTGATTTGGACATGCATAAAATTAGAAAACTACGCAACAAACATTAATAATGTATTCACGTCATGTATTATATTCAATGAACATCTAGTTAGCGTTTGCACTAATGGTTATGGTATTGGGATGGCACAAATGATTTGGGATAGTTATTGTCATTTACATTCCATTCTTAACAATTATTTACATGTTTGAACATGACATTATGTGTTTTGTATTCAGTCAAGCTTATAATTATGAAATTTTAAATGTCTTTTTCTTTTGTACCTAATTTTCATTGTATTGACAATTAGTATTGATTGAAGAATTCATTAAATAGCAGGCATGTAACAAAATTAACAATTTTTGTAAAAAATAATGATATATATATATATATATTAGGGTGGTCCTTAAAATGGTCATTTTCGAATTTCCTTGCTCCCAGGGGCTCAAATGGTTCCAAATAGATAAAAAAAAACATTCTCTTAAAGTTTTGTATGGAAATAGCATGGAAAAATTTTCAAAAATTTCAAAAATGTTTTTTAGATGTAGTTTAGCCAACAAATGAATGAATAAATATCATTCATTTGTCGCTAACTTATACCTAAAACATTTTTTTTAAATTTTCAAAATTTGTTCCATGCTCTTTCCATATGAAGTTTGATTGAATTGCGCTCTATCTAAACGTTAACATTCACTAACGCTAAAACTTTCAGAGAATTGTTTTTTATCAATTTGGAACCATTTGAGCCCCTGGGAGCAAGGAAATTCGAAAATGACCATTTTAAGGACCACCCTAATATATATATATATATATATATATATATATATATCATATATAAAGGAATAAAAAACAAATCGCTACAGACAAAATCGATTCTGAATGTCATATGTATGAATTTACATATTTTTTACATATTACCCCATGACATAAATATTTAAAATATTCGTGATAAGATCAGTTGCGCCCATATCCCCTTTGAGGACAATATAACTCGTGCCGCTTTGATGTTTCACCACATAATATATCATTCAAAATGATCTATATGACGAAATGTAATAACATGACAATGATGTTTTGATAAATAAACTGACTAACCTTTGACAGGCTCAGGTGCAATCTTCGACTGTCTACACAGTGTAGGAGAGTTAATTTATAATATTATGTTTAACACATGCATTAACACTGCACTATTCATTCAATATGTAATCACGTTCATTTATTATACTAATTCGACCAATATCACACACGTCAATCTCGCGTAACACGTACACGAAAGTGTTTCTGATTAAAAAAAAACTAATCGGCTTGTAAGTCCGGTAGAGCCGCGCGCTAGGGCGGCTGTCACACAACACGATTACACTCAGTTGAAGAAATTGAACCAGAGATCCGGACAATGTTAAATTAATAATATGATCGATGTTTCATGGTGATCATCATAGTCCGCACACTTTAGGGTGATTATTACATCCTTTGTTTTCATATTCGCCTCATAGCGGTTAAAAATTATTGTCGGCGTATTTAATTCGACACATCACGATTATGTAAAATTTTTGACTTTTTCAAAGCAAACTGTTTGTAAAGTGTCACACGTTAACATGTACGCGAAGCGGTCGTCGGTTGTTGACAATCGCACGCGGCAGTCGTGCGCTACGTTCCGGTAGCCAAAGAAAGCCGGTTGATCTCGCGTACGAGGGCCCTCGGGAGAAAAAAGGCCGTGCCGATCTGTGTGAGAGAGCTGTTGCGTCGCTTCTTGCTTGCGATAGACTGCGGCCGCCGGAGCACAGCGTCTATCCCGAGATCTATTCCGTCTCGTTCTCTGCGAGAGATGGTTCTCTGGGTGCCCCTCTCCGCTCTCCAAATCGACGTAGATCGCTGTGAGTCCGCACGCGTGCTTTTTTCGAAGCGCGCGCTACGAGGACACGCCTATGTCGACGCCCATGCGAGTGCTGCGTGGAGACGGCGGCGAGGCGTCGCGACGCGCTGCGCATCTTGACACCGCACCGCAGAGGCTGCCGATAGTGGTCTCGCTCGGCCGCATACTACATACAACACGCAAACCGCGGACGAGAATCGCACGATTGTTCTGACTCACTATGTGCGAGACTAAATTCGCGATAAAAATCTTTAGTATGGGACCTTTTATGTAATAGAGTGTGCAAAAAGGTAGAAAACCGTAATCGAACATTTTGTATCGCAGAAATAGGAAGATAACATCAGAATGTAATTTTTATACAAAAAATCGATAAAGAACGAGAACAAATAAAATATCATAAATATATAGAGATAATTATGAATAATCAATATTTTCATATCTTAACACCTAATTCCAAAAGTCAAATTCAAAGTGTTACTAACTAGCAATGCCAAATATTGTGACTTCCGTCATATTACAGTAAATATGAAACACAATTTTTATACAATTTTCGAAACTTTTTTCCGGAAGGTGATATTTAGATACTTTTTCAACATGTTTGATCATAATTTAGTAGGGGCTCGCCCGTAGGTAAGTGGTTAAGAGCGACGGGACTTGTTTCAGAGGTCCCGGGTTCGATACCCACTTCGAGCAGCCTGTTGTCAGGCAACAGTGACAACGATTTTCACTTGGAAATATGAATAGCAATATGTTTCCAAGTGAAAATAGCCCTCACCCGGCATTGTTGCACCATACTTGCCCTATTACAGAGATTGTAATAAAAATTTATCATATAGAGATGTGACAATTGTTTCGGTTGCCATCTGTAATAAAACAAACGTAGTTTGTAAGATATTAATCACAACAGCTCATAGAACCCATTAGTTCTAATCGCTGTTCAAATAAAATTAAAACAAAAAAAAATTTAGTAGTCAATACAATTAGGTTCAATAATTTAAAAAAACATTGCATGAGAAAAATATTTTAGCTAATATGTTGATACACATGGTATAGGGTAGGGCGGGACACAAAGGTCCAATTTAACTTTGAGCAAATTGGATTTTTAAATTGGGAAAACCATACCAATTATATCATGATAAACAACACATATCAAACAAACAACTATTTGACTATGTTCAGTTCTATCTCCCAGCTAATTTATCATTGCAAAAATGTGTTTTTTGCTGTTTTTCAAAAATTTGTAATATGGGGTAAAGAAGACCAACTTCTTTACCCCATAGGCGGATTTTACAAAATAATAGCTAAATTAATCAATCAATGCAAAATTAAAATTTCATGGGTACATTTTTCACAGAAATAATACTTTATATACCTTGATCTGGTATTTTGTCAGAAATAATCATCACCACAGTTGAAATAACTATTCATTTAATTTATTTCTTGTAAAATTGTTTTTTTTTTCAACTTAATTTGTTTATTTCATTTACACCTTTGCCAGGGTAAAGGTTCAGTTTATCCTTTTTACCGTGGATGGGGGTAAGCTTTTATAGAGGTGATATAAAAAAGTATTGTGATTAATTTAAAATTAATACGATCGTATAAAGCAATCAAATAATGTATACTTAAAAATTATATTAAGGTCTTGTAAACTAGCAACAGTGCCCACGACCAAAACAAATAAAGAAAGAAAATAGTTTTGGTATGGATTTTTAATTATTGCCGTTTTTCTCCCGAAAGCAAGGTCGTAAGAATCTACTTTCAAACATTGTTAACAATATCTTAATGGCTTTTGAAATATCGGTCTTAATTTAAACTTTTGGTTTAAAATTTTAATTTGTTTTAAAGTTATTTGTTTGGTGTGTTTTAGATGGTATACTTGATAATTTAGTATTATCATATTGTTGTAGATACTTACTTTTGTATTGTACTATTAGCTGAATAAGGAAACACATTTGGTTCTCAAAGCTGTACAATTTTAAATAAATTTATATTTTATTTTAGGGCATTGGCTGTTAATCAAATGATGTACGAAGTTTTTATAGCATTCCTTAACATAAATTTTGCGTTTTAATAATACTTTGTCAGAGACTAATAAAAAGAAAACTGATATATTGCCAAAGAGGAGTTGGTCAAAGCTCAATACAGTTTACAGAAAACATTTTTTAATACTCTACAGTCTGATGGCATCTCTGAAAAATGTAATTCTCAAAGTTCTAAACAAGTTGAAATATCAATGGTGGACCTTTTTATCCGCAATTATTTAAACCCTGCTCTACCCTATTCTATCATCTTGCAACAAAAAAATCAAATTTAACTATGATTTATGTTGAAAACATTCTCTATATCGCTTAAAACACGATCATGACAAAATAGAGTTTTCTTTGAATCATTGCATTTGTAAAGTCAAACAATTCTGGCGATTGCATATTAACAGGTGACTGAGTTTTTAATAGGCCTCCGGATCGTCGGTTTGAGAGCGCGTGCCGCGACAGACGAAGTCGCGCGTGCCGCGACAGACGAAGTCGCGCGTGCCCGCGTGCCGTCACCACGATCTCTCACATTACGTTGCCGTGTATCAACACAATCGCATGCGGAGCCGTCATCATCCGTGCGCTACGCAACTCGCACGCCGCCGCTTATATTATGCTAATTTGTGATACCTACACGTACGGCCGGGAATGTGCCAACAAAAGCTTACAAATTGGCTACATCAAACGTCGCAATTAGTTAGTTTCCGTGCGCCGGGGTCTGCGATGGCGCGAAGGATAAGGTGACCTTTGTGTTTGATACCTCAGCACGTCTCAGGAGACAATGGCCTTAGTTCCGTCATTTGTCTTTATTAGCGATAATTGATGGCAACGAAATTTGATATAGGGTAGAGAAGGACTTAAAAGCCCGCGAGTTAAAAAATCCGCCACCGAATTTATTAATAACAATATTTGAAAGTAGAGGGGAAAAGATGTGTAAGCAATCACATTGATTGTAGCGGTGGCGTTATCGGGAGATAAACGGCAATGTTTGAAAAACCATAACAAAAGTATTTTTATATAACCTCTGTAAAAGCTTTCACCTGGGTGGGATAAAAGGATCAACCGAACATTTACCTTGGCAAAGATATAAAAATAACTAGCTGTAAGTGGAATTCTGTCTTGAGGCAATTATGGCATCGTGCCTTAAGGCAAATTGCTGGAACTTCCCGTACCGTAACGAAATGTGAAATCGAGGAATACTGAATGTTTTCAAATAGATTATTATAAATATTGAAACATTGTCTAATATTTATAAGAATTATATAAACTGAATTACAGAGTTGAAATTATTTGTAAAGTATATTAGAACTATAGTCAGAATTAAAAATAAAATCTGAAATATTTTCGATATACAAAAAACTAAAAATGGAACAAAATTTTTTTTTCCAAAATCAATTATTTTGTTAGCACAAGCTGAAAGTTTTTTGAATCATTTAAATTAGACGCTTAGTTCTCTCAAAAACTACTATTTTTTGCGCATTTAGCTCTGTATCTTCGAAATGGCTGGGCCTGCCATAGCCAAAAACTAATAATCACTTCTCCCAATCATTACTAATTGAATGTTTTTTAGAGCATTCAAATCGGATGCTCCGTTCACTCAAAAACTCGATTTCTATTTTCTGCACTCTTTGCTCGGTATCTCCGTAACGGCTGGACCTGCCTTTGCCAAAAACTAATCAGCCCATCTCCCTATCAATAGGAATCGAATGTTTTTTGAACCATTCAAATCGGTTGATCCGTGCGCCCGAAAACGTGACGTAAATTTGTATCCATACATACATACACACACACATCCATTTTTTCTGAGGTATGCCAAAATGTTCAGAAACCTTCAAAACGTCGAGAAATGTAAAAATTTTCAATTTCGATTTTCGGCCCATTACAATAACTTACCAGCAAGAAATAAATTAAATAAATAGTTTTTACAACCCTAATGATGAATATTTCTGACGAAATACGAGATCACAAGATTATATTTTGCAATGGTTGAATAACACAGCTATTATTTTGTAAAATCAGTTCAAAACTTAAATAAGACAATGAACTTGTTTACCCCCTGGCCGTCCCAATTTACCCCGCCTATGGAGTAAGAAAAACAGTTAACTAGTTTTTGAAAAACCGCAAAAAACACATTTCTACAATAATGAATTAGCTGGAACTTTTACTGAACATAGTCAGATAGTTCCTAATTTGATATGTGTTATTTGTTGATATAGTAATCGGTTTGGTT